TAATGTTGCTTCCACCTGGCTTGGTCTCCCTTTCTTCTTCTTACTAACAAGTGAAAATGTGATGCGTGGCTGCTGGCCATTGCAAAGGCCTGACCCTGAAATTCTTTTTCTCAGAGTCACCATGCCCCAAATTCAAATCCAAAGCTCTATGAAACTTGAAACGCATATTCATCAGAACCTAACGGTGATGTTTAGCTCATCATTTTTTAATTTCACCTTCATTTGTGAGTTACGCATATATTGCAAAACAGGCTGAAACTTGCAGTGATCAAAGAATTTTTTCCAAACCTAACGGTGATGATTAGCTCATAATTTTTTTTTTAATTTCACCTTCATTTGTGAGTTACGCGTATATTGCAAAACAGGCCAAAACTTGCAGTGATCAGAGAATTTTTTCCAAACTATTGAACAGATTTGAACAAAATTTTGACTATACATTCCTAACTACCAAATGGTGATTTTTTAGCTTATAATTTTTTTTATTTTACCTTTGTTTGTGAGTTTTTTTTTTTATTTCACCATCAATCTTGATTTCACACTTCCTTATATTTGGCCCGTGTCGCCGGCAGTGTGGAATTCCAGAGGGGTAATATATTAACTGGTAAACATAGCAAATCGGAAAGCAGGACCCAAAAATCTGGAACGTCCAGCACACTTCCACTTCCAGTCCATCATCATCACTGATGAGTCTCTGCAAGATGCCACAGCTGTTTCATTGAAAAAAACAGCGCTTGCATCATCATAGTAACAAGAATCCAATCAACGCTTGAACGCATCCAACGTACTGTCACAGCCTCACAGGCATCCAATCATCGCTAGAACGTGTGCAACGTCACAGCCACTGGAATCCAATCAGCGATAGAAAGCTAGAAGGGACCGCCTCAAATGCACACAATGTTAATGCACACAATGTTAATGCACTGATGCTAACTTAATGCATAATGCTACAATTCTTATTTCAAGAACGTAATACAATGGTGTAGTTATGTCATTATTGATGGAAATCACAAAGAATAACATTTTCACTATGTACACTCACTCACAAATACATGAAAAACTGCCTACGATTCAATCGACAAATACAAAACTGACCACTGATGCAATAAGCTGAGACATTATAACTCCTATCGTTACGATCAGGATTACCAACTTAATGAAAAACATAAACAAAGAAGGTAGCAGGCTGCAGGGACACCAACCATCAATATACTCATTTGAAAAAATGATAGATACGAATTCTTCTATAATACACATTTATCAGTAACAGGCATTCAACAGAATGGTTTAATAACCTTTGTAAATCGTAAATGTTATACAGTGAGGGGAAATAAATATTCGTACACTTGAAAAATCGTATTTTAATGTATGTAAGTACACAAACTTAACAGGAAAAGTGATTTAAATTATGTATAGAGACGCATAGTATTAAAAAATACTATCAAAATAAATTAAATCTCAATGCAACAAAAAACAATGCAACATGTTCACTTTTCGGGGTGAAAAAAGTATTCGTACAAAACAATAAATCCGCATTATTTTAATTTAATACTTGGTTGAATACCCATTTTTCAGCTCAACAGATACCAGTCTATTTCTATACGTCTCGACCAATGATTTGCAGATGCTGACTGGTATTTTATACCATTCTTCTTGGCACACCACCTTAAGATTCTCAATGTTTGTTGGGGACCTTTTCTTAATTTGAATCAACTTATTCTATCGCGTTGGAAGGAAGGAGAAAGTTATAGGAAGATTGCTAGCCACTTGAATGTTCCTTTTAGTACAGTTGCTTCGTTCATTGGACGCTTCAAGACCCGTGACAGCGTTGAAAACCAAAGACGATCAGGTGCTCCTAGGTGAACATGTTGCATTGTTTTTTGTTGCATTGAGATTTAATTTCTTTTGATAGTATTTTTGAATTCTATGCATCTCTATGCATAATTTAAATCACTTTTCCTGTTAAGTTTGTGTACTTACATACATTAAAATACGATTTTTCAAGTGTACGAATATTTATTTCCCCCCACTGTACATGCAGAATCAATCGTGTGCAACAGCCAAAGTGGCGGGAACGATGGTTAGTGTTTACTGTTTACTTGTTAGTTCTCGTTAAGCAATCGGTGTGTGAGGTAACTGAATTAACTGCAGATAAAGCTCCCAAACTTGGAGACAATAATTGAGTGAAAACTTTACGCGATATATTGTGAGCCTTCTAAAGTTTTAGTAATGAAGAAATCACAAGGTTCGCAGAATCTAAAGGTTTGAATGCTAAATTTTGAGTACTCTATTGACTATTGAGTCTATTCTATTTCTAGTCAGTCAACTGTGAAGTGTCATGTTGTTTGTTGTGCATTGCCTTTTCTTCGAGAAGTTTCTCCAACTGCCAATGAGTTTGTCAATTTGAAAGCTGAGGTAACGAATAGGTGCCATAAATGTTTTTTTTATTTTTTATTTGAAACTATTATGTTGGGAGTAAATAGTAGGTATTTCCTTCTGTAGATCCATCCCTCTTGCTCATCTGTGAGTGATGTGCGCAATTAACAATCTTGCATGGGACCTTCTCCGTGTTGCGTGACTTGACGTTCATACGATCATAGCCATGGTGCCAATCCATAGGTTATTCAAAAGAACCTGTTCTTATGTCATTTTGAACCGATCAACGCTTCTTTACAGACCAATCGTAAAACACACCTTCACCGGCAAAAGCTTTCACAATTCTGAAGAAAGGTGAGCTGACAGCTACACTGGCCGTAGGGCGTGGGTGGACCTAATTTGAATTTGAATGCATGCATCAATTTGAAATCCTATAGACTATAATAGACACAGTATACAAGTCATAGAGCCTAAATTTTTAATATCTATAGAAAAAATGTACGTTTCTGCATGTATTATAATGCTGTTAACATTAGCAAACTTTGAATTATCTCTGATGCAAGAAATACTTGCTTAAATCATTTTATTTACAATATAAGCGACTGGATGCAACAATCGGTTCGCAAGAACCAACATAGCCCAGAACAGCATTAATTTCGAATTTTCGATTGACGTTAATTTCTAAATTAAAATGTATTTAGCCAGTATTTCTTGCATCAGAGATACTGTCAAGTACTTCAATGCTAACAGCATCAAAATCCACACAGAAACGTAAAATTTTAATGAGTTTTACAATGAAATTTACGCTCCTATTCCAAAGAATTGAGACCAATTTCAAATCAAAACCGACTAAATTGAATCCATCGCGCTTTCTGGCATCTTCTCTCACAGCTGATTGCAGTTACAGTGCATTTTTTTAGCTTAAGTTGCCAATACGTATTTAATGTAGACATAGTCTTCCGTTGGTACAAAACTTACAAAATAACCTTGAATTATTGATTGCTAATTTCTTGTATTACGTAAATGTTTATGATTCAAATTAATCATAGAAGATTAGAAGTTGCATCTCCATAATTCCATGTTGAATTAAAATTATTCATAGAAGGTTCACTTACTGATGCCAGCGCTAGCAGCGGCAGGCAAATGAACTACTTTTTTATTTAGTATCTTGACTAATTATATAATAATATTGTATTCTGTTTAGGCACGGTCTCTTAAAGTGTACCAGCAACATATTTTCCATTATTAATTATTTAAATATATTAACTTGTGGTGCAGTAAGATATCATATTGTTTGAATTCTAAACAAACATGGCGCATCCACATCCAGATCCTAGCGCCAGCAGTGGCCATTCAAGGAACTACTTTATTACTTGGTATATTTACTATGATAATAATGTATTATTCTGCTTAGGCACAGTCTCTCAAAATGTTGCAGCAACACATTTTCCATTGCTAATTATTTACATTTATTTATTTGTGGTACACCGAACTAATGCATTTTTTATGTTGATGTTGATATATTTATATCAATTTCAAAACTTTATGTATTTCTAAAGGGAGTTGTGATGAGACCATGGGAGTCGAACCGTTGAGTTTAGACCATTGCAACTTGCAACAGGGGCCCAGGGGCCAAGGGCATGGGGCCTTGCGAAGGGTTAAGACCGCGGACCGCCGCACGGCGGTGGACCGACATAAGTACCTCTCTTCATAGACTTCCACTATGATCATAGCTACCGTAACCAAAGCCAATTTCTGACGGCCTGCAAACCTGTTTCTAGTTGCCTGGAACGTTTTTTTTTTCAAGACGGAACACTTTTTTTATGTGAACCACAAATTTTAGAATTCCAGCCTGGTCACTCACTTGCCGGGTAATTTGTCACTTAAATTTGCGGCGATCAAGAAATTTCTTTTAAACTACAGAACAGATTTCAACAAAACTTGAGCATGGAACCATGAGTGATGAGAATTACAAAAATACCTATATAAAATAACAATTCATATGCATACTTCACAAACGCAATAAACTCAGGAGCATATAAAAACTTTTCTTTATTAATTTCAAGACAATGGCGCCATTATGTCAGCCCATACTGCCACTGCCCACTACAAACACATAGGCCTAGCCTAGGAAAATTAGAAGCTTTTATTTGTAATGATACATTTATATAAATCGAAGTAAGTGTAGACGAGCTTCCCACCTTTATTAGAGCTGATCAAAGGATCAGCAGTCAGTATGGACCAAGAAACGAGTACCAGGCACAACAGAATCGGCAACAGGCTGTGGAAGCCTAACATCTGATGCCGAGATTGCTATGCTATGCTATGCTAATAATTAAAATATTTACAAGCTTTGAAATTGCATAAACTCAATGCATATTACATAAAACAGCATTTTAATACTAGTGCATTCAGCATTGATATTGTTTAGACTCAAAATTCCACTACTTGCCCCTCACCAAAATGGCGTCCGTTGACATCAAATCTAAAGGGCATTCACACTCCAACATCATAGAAAATAGTTTTAGCATTAAATGTTTATAAATTTAATCATTCGTGACCATAAACAGTTGTATTCCATTTTATAAATGTATAATAAAACAAATAAAATGTACAATTTTTCTTACCTAGAGCAAGTGAAACACAGACATCGTCCCTAACAACCCACAGCCGAAGAAACTTCAAGCAACGCCATCTTTTAGGGATTCTTTGAGCGACCGAGATAAATTTCCTGAAAAATCTTGAGCGTTTGATAAATTTCCTCAAACGCTCCCTTATGTAAACTGTGCACGAATAAAAACAAAAAATAAAATAAAAAGTTTAGATTAATGTAGGTTTGGGAAGATTAGACCGATGGAAAATAAAATCTGCATTCAGTTGAACTTAGAAATCTCTCGTAATCAATTATTATTCACAATAAGAATCGATGCTACGAAGTAGATGTTGATCCCACCAACTAACTATTTGTTTTCATATTTTTTTCATCACATAAAAGATCAAGCAAATGATGTTTTCCAACTCAAAATTATTTCATTTCTGTTATTATGTCACCCTGTAAGCTCTTTTTCATGGTTCATCACATTAATTTCAAACAGACTTTAAGAATTTGATGACGGGTGATGGTGGTTATATAAATTTAGATACACTCGCACTCGTAATTTAAAGCTATGCCAGGCTGATGAATGAAATGAATATGTGATGCGTCGCTGATGGCCGTTACAATGGCCTTACTATGAAATATCTTTTTTCTCAGAGCCACCACGCCCCAAATCCAGACCAAGGTTAGAAAAAAAAACTGTTTTTTTTCAATTATGATGATCGGTCTTGAAATAAGAATCGTTCCTCTATTGAGCTTATCGTTTGAATAAAACTGGTCAAGCTTTCTTCTGATGTTACGATATATTTTTACCCTAATTTAAGGACTTTGCGTGATTGAAGCCAAAGCAACGCTAACTTCATAAATGCTGCATTCTGATTGGCTCTCAAAGATCGAATCGATGACAATGAACACCGAACAAAAAATGAGATTATCAAATGATTAACATGAACTTGGGATGGTTTACGGCATATTAATAGACACATTTGAATCCTCGAATTTAATTTTATTTAGTTTCTTAACTTAACACTTCATCAAAGAGAATAGTTTCCAAATTTATTCAGAATTAAATTTCCACCACTCAGACATTGCAATTCATTCTATACAACCTGAATGGGTTCCAATAAAATTTACCTTATACCGCCATGTCACTCTCCCGGAATATAATTTTAAAGTTGTACTTGGCTGCAACCATTAGTGTAAGTCATTTGGGGCTCACTGGAACATATCATTTTTGGGAATTAGGATTGCGACATTATTACCCCGGTTACTCATGTCAGGCGGTAGAGGGGGTTAATATCAAATTGTTCAAGTAAAATTTTTTTCGACCCGGCTCCTAAACTTTATTCCCATTACAATGACTAATGTACTCCAATTCCGAAATCGCTGAAGAGAAATTTGCATCAACATTCAATTTGGTGGCAATTATTCATGAAGCTGCTATCCTCAGCCCACGCGAGTCAAAAATAAACTTCACGCTATAAACTTAGAACAAGATTGAGCGCAAGGGAATTTCTTCTTGTCATATCCAAGAGTAAACTGTCCAATCACTATCCTCATTTCTCGTCTACTTAGCCGACAGTACAATAAGGCCTGTTGCAATGCGATACGGTGAATGACGTGACTTGTTCCGGCATTAATATTCACCAATCTACCCAGCCATCACGAGGACGGCGTTCAATAATTGAGCTAGACACCTTCAGAGCCAATGTATATCTACTGATACCTGCTAGCCTTTCTTTTTAATCACACGATTACAGGTATATGTAATGTACCGAAGGTCTCTGTAGAGTGTTGAGCTGCAACCGGTAGGTGTAACGCTCAGCAGAGAAGGATAATCAAAAGCAAAATCCAGTCAAAGCCTATCTATTGCCGTATCTGTCGACTGTCAAATTCCAGTCCCTTTATGGTCGAGAGCTTCGGACGGGACAGACCAAGCCAGCATGATTCTGGAGTCAGAACAGACTCGAGCGCTCTAGATTCTTTGGTAAGACGTCTAAATGTGCGGTCAAGAAATTATGTTTTAACAAGCCAACCAATAGGCAACAAGAGTTGTCCTACATTTTTATACACCAAAAAATGATCATAATAGAAAATTTCGAAGCTCGCATTCATGAATCGAACTCTAGTATAGAATAAATAATGAACTAGTATAAAAATATCATAAAAACTGAATTTTTCTTCCGACAATGAATGGGATATTCGTAATAAGGCTAGAGTTTTTCAAGCAAGAAATAAATGGTGGGAAAAAAAAATCAATATCCTCTCTGATGCCGCTCAAAACTCATCACAGCAGGATTCCTCATCTCGACAAAAGAGCTCTGAACGTCACAGTCATCGCAGTATGAAAGTGTTCCTTATTTGGTGTAGAAAACTTTTTCGTAAAGCTGCAATGAAAATCATGAAATATAACTCCACTTCACCTGTGTCCTCATAGACAGACAACTAGGAATAATCAAATTCTGAGCAAGCTCTGCACTTAGTCGCGCGCGTGATGCTCGCTTCAAGACTTCCTCTTTCCGTTACACTTCAGACGCTCTTACGATGAGAGCAAAGTCCCTGTACTCCAGTTCAAGTCTCAACCACTAAATAGACGATAAGCAGATAGAGCGCCAAACTGGCAGCCGATTTATAACAGCAACAATAAAGAATTGGGGGCATATCCCGATCAATAAATAAAGAGACGATTTTTTCTGTCTTAACGATTAGCAAGTAACAGTTGCTATACGATACACAAGTAACTCATGGAAACAAACCGAAGTCCAACACTATTCATCCAGTACAAACCAGACAGTAACAAGCATCTAGGATTCACAACAAATAAGAAACTCCATCAAAACAGCAAACCCAACTAGAAAACCACATAAATCTCCTTCGCAAGCAACGAGCAGCTATGCTCCGATAACTGGACAGTGCGACGCTGCCACTTAAGCGATCTCATTTCTCTCCAGTCCAACACTTTAACTACAGAAAATGGCAGTGAAGTTGCTTCAAATGCAGTCGAAGCTCGTCTGCTCCGACTGGTGAGTGAATCAAATGCCCCCACCCAACAGCATAGATTCATGAATAAATCAGTATTTGCCAATATTAGGCTCGTAGTGAAAAATCTGATTTGCAGAAACGCACGCCGTTTCAGAAAACAGATTTACATAGACACGTACATGTACAATCTTCCTTTTACATCACCGACATGCCAGCATCCTAAGAAACTGCATTGCCAACGCGGAGAATGATGCTCAAGGTGAGGTGTCCGTTATACTACCGTAGCGGTTTACACGGCACACGGCGCTCCTATAACTGGGCATTACACGCTGGAATTCAAGCATCAAACCAGAGCCGACAAATAGCGTGAAGTTATTCAAGACGTATAATGTAGTATTTAAACAAGCTACCTCATGGATGTGAGAGCGCTGACGAACAAAGTATGCGCTCATTTTACAGAAGGTAAGTTGCACCAACTATCCACCGCACACGGGCCTGATGAAGCCAGCATTCCGTGTATTTTTTCTACAAATGTCATACAAAATTGAAGTACACATTACTACACATAAGAAATAAATGGAATAAATGTAGAGCACTGCAGGAGCGGCCCCTTTGAGTATTGCTGGTGTGAAGAGATTATCGAGTCAGCACACCAAGAGACTCGCCGCTTTCTTCCTTTAGCTACTAAACGTGAGCTGAGCGGTACAGTGACCCCTACAATGCACGACCGCATGGCGATACAAATCCTCCTGGCATCACGAATGGCAGTTCTAAGTAGCAAGAACAGGCGAAGCCCAGCCCCAGGTTTCGCCCAGACATAAAAATTACGGCTTTTCTCCCTAGATTTTTCACTTAGCAAGTAATTTTGAAACGCCACCTAATCGGCAGATTAGAGATGAAGTCTGAATAGTATTCTTTAGAGATATTAGCGCCCTATTTTGATGGAGTTTTGCTTCTACAACAGGAGCAAGAATCTTATTTCAGGACACGATCTGACAACGTATGTGTGTTAGTACAAAGATATTGCCGTGACTAGAAATAAACTTGTTAAACTGACATTCATTTACCTCTCTATGACCGCGTAACCAGAAAGGTATATCACATAAGCAGTATCATCCAACAGGGTTTGTCAATCTATCTTTTACGACACAGTATTCGCAGAATTATCGAATGTGCTACAAAACGTGTACCCATTGCAAAGGCTCCAAAAGGAACGTAGGTGCGTCAGAAATTCCAAGCATAGGCTTACCGTATGCAAAGAAGGGCACACCACAAAATAGGGAGAAAAGGATTAGTAGTTTAACCGATGGCCGGACTTACAACCCGAGTCAACCGCTGGATCGCTGCAAAACGGTCGATTTAGAGGGTAAATGTAAAACAACAACTCAGGAACAGTGGCAGGTTACGAAGCAATATCCGAACAATTGCAACATAAAATACCTACACCAGCTCGGTATTGATCTGATCAAGAGAAAACATTATAAATTCGGAGACATTAGTGAAGTGCACTAATATGGTTTTAACATGGATAAATGGTAAACAAATGGGAACTTTCCGCACAACGAAAATTTCTGCATTAATGAAAACATTCTGCTAGAATGACTAAGAAGCGTCACCAGGACGGCACCGGTAGGTCAGACATACCAAACGAGCTTCCCTCGCACCGCCGTCACTTCGTTGGGAACTAGTGAAACAAAAAATTGGCCGGCACTTCGTTGGGAATTAGTGAAAAAAAAGGATAGACAAGAATTAAACGACTTTCCCAATTGGCAGGCGTGTGTAACAGCTTCAAACGCGATTCATCTTTGATGAAGCCAATAAATTCGGATACTAACAACAGCAGCAGCAATGAGCGCACGGTTTGATGGTTGGCACGAGAGCCAGCGAGATCTCGTAAACGACATTTGCCACTGGACAGTCAAAGTTAGCTGGCAGTGGCAGCACAAGCTGCATCAATCTTAACTGAAGGTGGATGACCTACAAGAGAATAGGCAGGAGTGGTTTCCCTTGATAGTAACTAATAACACAGTTACTCCTCGTACCGCCGTACTAAAATGAATGGTTCACAGGCAATATAATAGAAGACTCTGGTTATTATACGATTTCTTTACACTTTATACAGCTTATGATGACGCGACACGGGACTTTCTGAGCTGAGAGCCTCATCGTTTAATATTACGCCGAGAACAAAATTGTGAAGAGTGTCCACAGAACAGAAGACTCGCACGAAGTTGATAGCCTCGAGGTCCGTCCAGATATCAAACGACGAGCAGTCACATTGAATGAAATTCCCATTGTTTGCCAGGACTGCCGCACTACCGTCGGTCAACATATACGAAGTTACAGCAGCTGAGCCGCCTAGCCGGCGTACGACGACTCTGTGTTCCTCCTCCACTGGCATACACCGCAGCATGGCGAATCTTAAAAGTTATACATCAAATAACCTCAAAAATTGCCTAGTCATATGAGCCTACTCATTTATTGGGAGATGACAAAGAACTTTCGCCACTAGCTGGAGCTTTTTCTTTGTCGCTGCCGTCTTTCATTTTATCCACGTAATCGGTGAATATATCACGAAACCGAGACCAAGACTTTTCCGGAATCGTAATCGCCGTTCGGAAGTTCGTTTTCACCTGGGGGACAAATAAATTCATACAATTTTTGCAGGAGAAAACATAGCTTCCAAGTATTTTTCTAATTTTTGGTCAATAATACATTCAAAATTGAACAAAAATATCGCTCTGTAGGAATTCGCGACAGATCTTAGTCCAGCATCTACTAGACTTCCTACTACAGGCACGAGTTTCAAATTATGTTTCAGCCATTCCGAGTTATCCTATCCACACAAAAGAGTATTATGCCTCTAATCCACACAAAAGAGTATTATTATCCCGCCTAGATTCATAATCATAACTCAATACAGGCTGTCCTTGCCTATTACATTTAAACTCAGATGCCTAAAATGTCACCTCTGATATCCGCATGTAGATGCCCCTATTATTTTGGCCGATATCAAAGTAGAAGTTCTTGTTCTCGACGCGCATGTGACGCCCCTCTGGCAGTTCTCCTTTGAACCCTCCATCGTCGGTGCCAAACTCGTCCAGCAGCTCCTGGAGCGCGTCACGAAACTCTATCATACCCTGCGCTGGGATCGCAATCTGGCAGCGCGGCCCGCCTCGTGCGATTGTCTGTGATACCTGAAAAGTTAGCAGCTATCATTAGGCGGATGTGTTAAGAAGGCTGAAAAACGATGATGAAGCTAGCGAAGGAATAGACATTATGAAGATAACCAGTTTTAACCAAGTGGCTAAAAACGCTGATGAAACAAAAAGAGGGAGTGCGGGTGGCAACTTGAAACTAACTTCTAGTGAATGGCTGAAAAATGCTTCAGAAAAAGGAGCGATCGTCTGTGAGAAACCATGTTGTAAATGACTAAGAAAAACATCTGGTGAAAGAAATTGTGGCCAATTTGTGGTAAATGACTAAAAAAACTATGCTGAAATAATGGACAGTAATCTATGAAAAACTGTTATAAAAAAAAGTCTGATCGCTTGCAATAACAACCACGAATCGTGTTGTATAGAAGAAAGGTCTAAAAAAAACAGGTCCAAGTTTTATATTTGATCGAGGTCATATCGAAGAAAAAAAATTATTCAGAAAACATGGATCTGCGGACTTATTTGATAGGGGGTCAGATTGTTTAGAATGTTCACCACTCTCGGTTCGTTCAATTAGAGTTGGCTACAATTCTATCTATTAGGAAGAAATCTTACCCTCAGGAACCGCCCTCTCGAATTTTCCTTGAGGTCGAGGTAGTACCGTCTGTTGTCTTTAACCATTGTCTCAGATTTGAGTTTGCCGTCTTCGGGTAGCGTGTCAGGATTCGGCGGTCCTGGAAAAATTAAACATTTTTACATTTTACACAAACTACATGGTAAACTACACTTCGAGCGAATAGAGTTATCGAAATCAAACGTCAATTTATAGCGAAGCTCGATGGAAAAAATTGGTAGAATTCAGTGGTATGCGTCCTCCTAATGTTACAAATCACTTAAGTTTTCAACCTATCTCAAAATTTTAACATACTTGAGAGAGAACTATCACGCAGTGCCAGGTCCGTTTCAGTAGTCATCCTTATGCAAATGCACGCTGGTAGTAAAAACTTTTCGATAAACAGAGGTTCAACAGCGGTTAATTTGAGCCACTTTCGGACGATATTAATGAATCACTAATACACCATAGGCAACTAATACAAAATAATACAACTTTGAACTCGACTGTGCGACAAGACTCACCCAAATTAGAATAGAAATCACTAAATTGAGAAAGGTGTTCTCGAAACTCAGCCGCGGTAGACAATGCTAAGAATACTTGGTTCCTCCGACCGTCAGCTCCGATCTGAAAGAAGATCATGTTATCAAGATATGGCTGGTATGATATTTCGGTCGAGAATCAACCGATCAGTTTGTCCATGAATAAATGCTTTATTATGCGTCCAATGTTCCAGTTCTTCAAGAAGGGAGAGTCCTCTCTAATAAGTCTAATTTAGGGCACGCATTTCCCATTTTATTTGATATAATGTGCACCAAAAATTTTGGTGGGAAAATAATAAATTGTTGCCAATTGAACTGAAACTAGACTCGCTGAAGAAATACTGGGTAAAAAGCAGCCAATTCAACAGGACGGATTTCTTGCGACGCGCACGTGTGCGAGCTTAAAGTAACTGAAATGCAATTTGGATTTCATTGCTGAATAGGAAAAAGAGCCTGATCAAGTTGGTACACGAGGTCACATTAGCACTTGCGACTATGAGCAACCGTAGCGAAATTACACGCAGAATCATCATATTAAAGATTCTACAAAGTCTATATAGATTACATACAAAATTTACTTCGTTTACGGCGTCTTTGAATATTGGCCTACACTAGCGAGGAAGATTTGCTTATTGGTGGATACAAAATTCCGTTCAACATTAGAAAAGGCAAAGAAATAAAATGAGAGTCGAGGATAATTTTCCAGATTTTACTCAGGTTATCTGGAATGTCTCCATTAAAGCCAGAACTCAAAGATCAATCGTTATTCACCTGTTAGTTGAACTAGTTGCGAATTAGAAACCTTCAGGAGTAACGCTAGTTATAAACGCCATTTGGCGCGACAGAATTTTTCATCATTAGTTCATACCAAGTTTTATTTTTGTATAGTCGATATCTTGAACTTGTATTATACGTTTGATTCTTTGCTGATTATTTCTAGTCTATTTCAAATAAGTTTAATTACTTGCTCGAAAATGAGTTCAATTTACTGTCCTCTGGAATAAGGGAGTCTTGGAAGAATTACTAGCCAGAAGCGCTCACGTTTGTCCTGATTGTTCTGCTCAACCAGATGTCAATTCTGGAAAATGCCTCTGATTTTCCCAACTTTTTAGCTTACAACCATACAGATAAGCTTTACGAGCACTGCCAAAAACAAACGTGGTACAAACTATTCTAAAAATTTCAATACGAATAAACGGAGTAGACATTTCAAGTCTTTTAATGAAAACGTATTGATAGTAACTATCTTGAATTTCTTTAGAATCCATTTATAAATAAAACTACTAATCTGTGTTTTTCTCACCTCTGCCACTTTCATGAAGCGACCCCGTCTGTTCTGTTTGACGTCAATGTAAAAACGTTTACTCTGAATTTGAAGCATCTTCGTGGCCAGCTCCTGTTCGCCGACTTGCTGCTGCCCTGAAATCAACCAAATAAACATTTACAATTTTGCCCGAGCCATCTAACAAAAGATGCACATATCAGATTTTGTCTATCCAAAGGCGTCTTCTCAGGCGATGATCGTAAAGCGAACAACGAGCTAGAGGAGCAACCTGAAATGGTAAAGGTTAACAATATGTAGTCAATTGCTTGCAGACTACCGAAGTAGTCGGCTGGAGGCATCGACGAACAAAATAATTTTTGCTCAACACCATCAAGCTAGGAGGCGAGTGCGAACTAGGGTTATAGACGTTACCAGTCAATGAAAGAAGTGCCCAACCTCAAGTTTTCACCGGAATTTAACGGCTTAAAGGCACTTCGATAAATTCAGCTAATTAAGTGAAAGTCACTCACCTTTCTGTGGCATCTCAAACCCCATGGTAGATCCTAAACTCGAAGGAAGAAGTAACGAACTTCCTGAATGAGTGGCCACAAGAGTAGTAGTCATGATTGATCTTGCTTTAACCGACTGACTAGCCTAATCAACGAACGATCCCGCCAATTAAGTCTACCGAAATAAGAGTAAACAGGTGTGAAATTTATACACAAAAGGCTAATTGAACTAATATCTCGACACCATCTCACAACTATGCAATAACCGCTCTAACTGTCAATATCTGGGCAATGAACCGAAACAATAGTCCAATATGGATTATGGAAGACCAACCAAAACCAGTTAATCATTGTGACAACCGACAAGAAATTGAAACGGAATTCAAAGTTCCACTATTGATCAATTCAAAAAGAAAGAGTCGAGTGTTAATTAAATTTTATCAGAGCTAAAGTAAACCTATTTGAACCGGTTGCATAGTAGACGGCAGTCACGGAATTCAACAGTTAGCTAAACACCTTCACCGGCGTCTACGAAACCGCACAAAATTTGTCACGGCGACTTGTGTAGTTCAATGGAGCCAATTTTTTTAGATAAAAATTTCGAAGCTGTAAAATTGCCTCTTTATTCGAGTAAACCGAAAGCAGCTCTCGTTAAATTGTGATAGTCTATAGTTGTTGCATTAGCCTCGTATTGGAGTACGACGGCAGCGTAGAGGGAGTGAATAATCACGCTCAACTAACGAAACAACGGCTCATACGAAACCTCATGCCACCACAGACGCCAGGCATGCACTAGGACTGGACTGGAACTGGAGACTGATCTCAGACAGACTCAGACGCCGGCCAACCGCGCAGCAATGCTACCGACTGAGTCGGCTTCACTGCAACCAACGGTCAAGCAAGCACGCCAGGCGGAGGCCGGGCATGCCTGAAATGTCTTCATTTCCGGACGCGGTTGCTTTCGAACCACCTGCACAGTTTGCGCTTGCTACTCAGGGTGCCTTAGTTACACTTCAAAGTTCGTGATATCAATAATAGAAATTATGGTTTACAAGACGAGTGGACAACATGATCGCTCCAATACATTATATTCAAGTAAGAAAGACACAAACGTCCAATTCTAACCATGATCCGAGCGCGACGCTAGAAATCCGTTGATCGACCACGTGGAACACACACACCGTAATTCCAGGAATTTTTAGCGCGGCAATGGCGGCAAGCACAGGAAACGACGAACGAGGCGCGGCAGACAAACTTAATAACTAACGCCACAGTCAACTGACAAGAGAATTTCAAAACTCGTGCGTTCATTCTAAGCAGACTCCGTGAAAGCTTGAGCCAACGCCACGAGACATTAGTCAGAACCAGCAAAAAAAGTGACAAATTGAATGAAAAGGTTAAATCTAGAATTCCAGTTAGCTTTACGATTTTTACTGTCTACAACATGATTGCGGGTGGAAGATTGCAAGTAGTTCAAGTTTATGCTGCTACATGACCGTGCCGAAAAGCGGGTTTCTATCCAAAAAACGATCATATTTCGTATCAGAATCGCATCCTGATGTACATGAAGAATATTTCAATCATTTAATCGGACTTCAGAGTATCAAGCCGAGTTTAATTGTCCCAAATTTAATCGAGGTTAGTTTTTTAACAGCTTCGGGAAGAAGTTTGAAGCTAAGTAGATGAAGAAGATTAAAGTACCGAGTTAGTTCTAACATGCCCCGATAATAGCCAAAACCAACAATACTTCAAATGGAGAGGTAATATGCCAGTTAAATGATCTGCCAACTAATTAGGGCAGGGTGGCACTAAATTTATTCAAGAATGAGGAGAGATAGACAAAATTTGCCATTTATTATTCGTTGAACAAGTGAGAAATCCTATGCATAGTAATCCAGTTTCCAAATCTTATATGCAATTCTCAAAAACCGTCGCATAGAATACAGAACACAATCACTAACTCGCGATAAAATGCTCTTTAAGTGGGTTAGAGGAGCAAACACGGACAGGCAACTCTTAATTGAAGAGATCGAAAGCAAACACATTTTAGGGCTTCCTCACAAGATTACCACCGCGATCTTCAACCTCATGTCACGTCACTAAGTGATATTATAGTGTAGTATAAACCGCTTGTTCGCCATAGCTGACAATGCTTGCTTCGACTTCATAGTTATAATGCTGAACCCAGCAATCGCCATATTTCTCTAGCAAACCAATCACAGCACGAAAATGTAACAGCGTTCAAGGAAGACGAACAACGTTCCGCACCTCCAGCCGGCGGACTTACGAGCACCTGTACGAACGTTGACTCCTAGACACCCCAGTGGCAATGTACTTTTTCTTTGAATGGTACTTCGCACTGAGCCGGACGATCGTATGTAAGCTTACTGTTGGAAGATTGATAGTAACTGTGTCTATAATCGTCAAACATTATGCTTTTTTGGCTCAATTTAGGATATTAGATATCGCATCTGATAAGATAGTGGAAGCCAGGAATTTTCTAATTTTTATACTCGATGAAAATTCACGCTCTTCGTTCAACAGTTGCTCAATTTTACCTCAGTATAGAGAGGGAATCAACCACAAGTACCGAGCATTCTTTCAAAAAATAAGCATTCTTTTCATCGAGTAACATACGACGAGACTAGCTTAATTGCTGGGTCAAACAACGACGTCAAAACAGTTGAACACCTCAAAGCAAAATTTAAATTAACCCTTTCTTCAATTCGGTCTACATACAATCAACTAACTGGAACTAACAACTGGAGACGACCCTAACAAATATTTCCCACGGTACCGACATCAGCTACTCTCAACTCTCATCAAAACTAATTCAAAAATGGCAGACTTCAAACATGTAGATAGGTACCTCAATTTTCATCAAGGAACATTTTTGGAATGGATCGTGAGGTTTCTACAAATAAAGGTATTTTGCCGACTCTTGTGTTGCTTTTTTTAACTTTGAATAGAGTCTCAAATTTCTCATGTTCTCAACTAGGAAAGCAGGAAGCTTTTACTGATGACAATGAGAAAAAATATAATTTCGTTCTAAATTAGCACACTGCAAGGAAAAATAGACTATTCCATTAAAAACCATTGATTGTGAGCAAGCAAAAGGGCTTGCCGGACATGTTCAACGTCCGAATTTAAAACAAAGAAAAGTTGGCGGCATGTGTTGAGTGACTGACTTAGCGTACCTGTTTGTGGTGGATCGTTCGAAAGATTTTAGCAATACAACCGAGTAACACAGATTCTACTCACCTGTATCATCCTCGAAATCGAGGTGATACGAGGATGGTAGATCCAGATGTCCCCCCGAGGAATGGTATCGGCCGCCCCGGCCCTCATAGGCCATAATGGGGAGCAGAGCAAGCCGCAAGCTACATTAAGGTACACCGCACATCAGTCATAAGTTTCTGCGGTCGACCAGTGAAAACTATATTAGGCGATCATGATGCAGGAACCCTGACTCTTGAGAAGGTGTTTCTTTGTAATGACCAAGACCAGCTGACGAAGGTCGGAAGAGCAGCAAGCTGTTCAGCGGCTCTCGGACTTACACTGATGCTGCCTGCACTCACAGTCCCAAGCCAGATCAATACGAGTAAGTACAAGCACCACCATCACCACCACCGTTCTTAACATCTCAAAAACAATAATAAACATCCATCATTTAACGCACAAGACGGCTTATCTTTTGACATAAGAGAACAGCAAGCAAGGGCACTTTGTCCCGATGAGGATCCATGCAATGAGAGGGCCGGCAGATCTGAGACCGCGAGCGAGGCGACCCCTCGTGAGCTCGCATGCAGTGCCACACTGACACTAGAACTGTGCCAGCTCCGGCCACTGCCTGCTCGGTGCAGCTCAAAGAGAACTATTCTCATCATACCCTAGTGGGATGACCCAAATAATTAACATTCTTCAAAAATTACCGTCCAATGTAGAAGGTTCCAAGATCTTTGCCAATAGAGCCTATTTTCAAAAATCTATGATGGCTACATCATGGATATGCCGGCAAAGGACCAATCAAATAACTCGTTCTAAAGTCCACTATGGGGAAATCAAATAAAAATTATCGTAATTTAACGCATCACTAAACAAGCACCGAGCTGTGCGAACCAGCATTCAAACCTCGTAAAACGTTTAGACAATGCACAGGAGTGTGTAGTGCTTAAAAATCCAAAATCCTCAATTAAAACTGGAATGTTAAAAGCAGATACCTATTTTCGATGAAAAAAGTGCCTACTTGAACTTTTTTGTTTGAAAGAATGAATTTACGACTGAAATATAAGCGAAATACTTTTTATTCGAAGCCAGAATTGCTTCGGCAACAGCGAGATCAAAATGACCTAAGTGACAACAACGAGGCCATCGATCAACAATCACAATCGACCAATACGAGAGATATCAATATAGCAACGCTATTTCAAACAAAATTTTACAAGAATCAAATATAAAAATTCCGCCTTTCTCAATGTACTATTCAGTTTGATATGAATAAATGATCATATGAAAGTCAGTCGTTCGCCGTCAACCATGACTTCGTTGACGCGATTCGCCGTGAGTGATACGAGATGACTGCTACTCTACAATAAATACCCGTCATCTTACCTTCTGTCGTCTTGCACTAGTGAGTCAAGGAGTATGTTGCTCTTGGTATAAAGCAAGCCAAACTTACCGTGGCAGGGAGCCTCACCCTGAACCTAATGACTTTCAGGTCTCACCGATCGACCCGACACTCACCTGCAAGTGAAAAAAATTACCATTACAAGTAGCAAAGATATTAAATCATTCGTTATGCGTATCAAGAACACGATGTTTCGTGCTTACGAAAAATTGAAACAAGAAAATTGTTAACATGACACAGGCATATGTATATACATAAATTAGCAGTGGTGCAAGTGATAATCTCATCAACACACTCAAGTTTTAATCGAGGACATGAAGCTGCCAGATGGAAACTTTTTTTTGCATAATAAGGATTTAATGAATGCTTTCAATATTATGTGCAAAACCAATACAGGTTCATTCACGACAAAATCAAACACTAGAAACAGCAAAGATCCCGCCGAATAGAAATGAAAGTTGATTTTAATTAATAAATTGATCAACTAAATATCAGTAAATGGATAAAAAAATCTCAATTTGAAACAATGCGCGCTGAACGCCAATGCCCAATTCCACGGCTTGCGTGCCGTCGCAATAGTCCAATGAAGTCTCTGGAGCATGTACTTCTAATTTCACTTACTGTAGGGACTACCCTGCAAAAAAATTGTCTTCGGGCTAACATGGCAAAATGGTTCGTATTCGACTTAAATAACGAGTTAAGAGCATATCAAATTCGGAAAGAACTGCAGAAAAAATCTGAATTTGTTTTTGCAGTTCAAGTTACATGGCCCATATTTTTAAATAACCGCGCCACGACGCCCTCACTACGATCATCGTTTGAATACTCACCATCGTCAGGATCAAAAGGTATTGGGTTGACCCATTTGGATATCCTAAGAGTGTTGTATGGCCGACGAGACCCTGGTGGTCCACACTGGCTAGCACCGTCATCTTCATCGTAATAAGAGTATGGAATTTGCTGCTGTTGCTGGAGAAGAGGCGGTGGAGGTGGTGGAGGCGGAGGAGGATGGTGCACAAGACTATGGTGAAGGTGATGATGGACAGGAGGAGGTGGAGGGAAGATAGGAGGCCTGGAGCACACGAGCGTCGTAGGAAACGTAGGAGGCAGCGTCCGGTGAGCCAAAAACATGGGATGGTGAGAAGCAGAAGACGAGGCGGCCGTCACGACGGAGCTCTCGGCGGATTTATGACAGCTCAAGCAAGACGCTGGCATCAGCGTCGGTGGTTCCAGTGTGGGGCGTAATGCTGCTGAAGAAGTGCTGGTCACGCGGGCTCCTGCTGAAGGTGAAGTGTTAGGAACTCCTCTAGCTGCTGAAGGAAGGGTACCGATCCCTCGACCCGCTGCTGAAGGCAGAGGGCCAGTCCCTCGACCCGCTGCTGAAGGCAGAGGGCCAGTCCCTCGACCCGCTGCTGAAGGCAGAGGGCCGGTCCTTCGGGCTGCTGCTGAAGGCAGTGAATTGTCAGGGCCCGGCACTCCGGATAAAGTTGCCGTACTCGTCACCGCTGCCGATGCACCGTGCGCGACTGCAGTGACCACCGTAGGCGCAGGAGAACGAATGGCAGAAGCGACCGCCGCAGCAGGCAACGCGGCAGCCGAAGGAGAAGTGGTCGTGGTGGTGGAGGGAATAGCAAACCCAGCAGCTCCAGGGGCACCCGAGAGCCGCGTGGGAGCAGGATGCCGTGGTACTGACGGTGGCGTCGCTGTAGAGGGCGCTCTCATGCCCGTGGTGGGCGCTGTAGAAGGACCAGCGGTGGCTGGAGTGTTACCACCCGCAGGCTGCTGGGCTGCTGCGGCTGCAACAGCAGCGACAGCCTGCAGCACCTGTTGCTTCTCTTCGTGCATGCTCGTGTGGCTGCTGCACGCAGCGCGGCGCTTCCCAGGAGCAAACGGCACGACGGCAGGTAGTGATGTTGAAGAAAATAGCGCCACCGTGAATTTCAGCAGTGAAACCCGAACTTTTCAAACGTATATTCATGTATTTAATTCAATACATCAAGTTCCTGAGAATCTCCGTACTTTATGATCTTGTTCCGGGAACTCTTGCTGACCAATTTTCTTTTCCCAGCCCTCTTCCTAACATATGTTCGTGTTCCCGGCACTCTTTCCAACTAATGTCCGTGTTCTCGGCGCTCTTCCTGACTGATGTTCTCGTTTCCGGCACTCTTTCTGACTGATATTCGTGTTCCCGGCACTCTTCCTGACTGATGTTCCTGTTTCCTGCACTTTTCCTGACTAATGTTCTTGTTTCTGGTACACTTCCGGACTAATATTCTTGTACCCGGCACTCACTTACCACAGTAATAAACTTTCTGGTGGCAACACTAAATCGAGCAAATTTCAAAAATTTCACGTTCAAAATAGATTAGGAAAAAAATTTCGTTTCTCAGAATAGAGTTACTCTCACAAAATGAGACTTTTGGAATTAATTCACAATCACTTGCAAAGCGTAAGTGGCAATAAGCTACATCCGAAAAGGTGCCGCTAAATATCAAGAAGCGCTGCACAGCAAAATCTTGAGCTCATGGTCGAAACAATCATCAAAAAATACACTGTGCATGTAAGGCAAGTCATAATACGAACAATGCACTAACATTCAAAGTAGCCAACAAAATTACATACAATAAAAAAACACCCGTGATGAGCTGGAAAACTACTGACTTTACTAGAGCAGCTACACTCATCTACTACCCTGAGTGTCCTGGAAGAGTTCAAGAAATACCAAGTGAGAAAAAATATTCCTTTAGCAGCACCGATAAAACATCAAAATAACGAATAATCCTAAACATGACTACTGATGAACGGAACATTATGATGTAACCGCTGTAACGGAACCACGGACGTAACCTAGCGTAACAGGTTTTAACTAATGTCATAATTTTGTTCGATAACTTAGTAAATACATTTTGCAAATCAACTATAGTCACATATAAAATTGAAAGTAAAACCGCAATTAAAGGTATCACATAAAAGAGAATATCGTAACGCGATTCGCTGGAAGATTATGGTACAACATGGGAAGCTACCGTATCAATAACGAAGGTTGGTTGCATGAAAGATTGTCAGTGCCGCACGCCCATCAGAGTAAACCAACTATAGATTCAAAAGCGACCGCTAGAAAACAGCAATGACTAAATACGAGGATCGATGCACGTGTAATTTTATTTACTAGAGCTTCAATGACACTTGAGTCGCCACCTCACTCAAGTAGCAGCGCTCCTATAGACGCGATATATCTTGTTAATTGCATAGCGTAAGAATTTTCTAGCAACATTTAAACATATTTGCGATTCTTTTGTTCAACTATGACATAACAAACTATATTATAGCCAGTATTATATCGTTTATATAGGAAGCGGCAGGTAAGTGGAGTGTTTGAGCATTCCTGGGGGCGGCTATTCGTTAAGGATTGGATTATGGATATGACACTTAACTTGCTCGTATCAAGCATGTAGTTAAGCCTTCACAAACTCAAATTAAGTTAGAAACATCGCATGACACGATCACACAATAATAAAATAATTGCAGTTGAACATCAAATCGAGAATCCGATTTTGTATGAAGTACCCAGTAAATTGATATTAATCTAATAACTTGAAGAAGGATGTTTAGTAGTGTTTTCTGTATGTACTAGTATATGTTGCACCAATTGGAAGGATAACTCTTCCGCACACACCACGCGAGAAACGAAAATAGTCGTAATAAATACCATTACAGGTATCTCAGTTATTTGTTTCCCAGTAGCATACTTAATTTAGTAAAAATAAGAGCCCTGACATTTCACATGAGAATACCCCCAAACTCCCCGGAAATTGGTGGTAGCAACTATAATGTTTAGTAGTAGTGTAATGTTCAATACTTAAACCCGATAAAAAGATTGATATGAATTGGGTTAAGCAGAGGAGAGACTAAAACAGGTGAGAGGGGGAAAAGAGCTTCCTCCCACGCATCTTTGCTCTGAGAGCCGACCTTGTGAGCCACGAGCTGGCACAGCCTCTAACTCTCACGCCAAAACCTCTTTACGAGTGAGAAGATAATAAATACATGACGGTATTTCGCGACAAACCATCAATGTTAAAGTAAACTTCATCAGTCGATTAAATAACAGCATAAGCATACAAAAGCAAGGTAAAATTAGACAGAACGAGAACAGAGCATGCAAAATTGTCTTGTGCAGAACATGGATTGATTTACTTTACGTCTTTCAGGTAAAAACGCACTCAAAAAACTATATCAAAATCAAACAGAAAAAACACCTTTCTCTCTATAATGTCTCTTGCCTTCTAATCTTATTCAAAATACTATCTAGCTGGACAAGCTTAAAGAATTACTAATAAGAAAATCTGAACGTTGACTTCTGTCATATTTTCCGCGAAATGCATAATGTTCAGATTTGCGTTGCGGCCAAAATGGCAATTCTTACCAGCACTCACCATAATTGTCTAAATATCGATTCACTTTTTGCCCTGAGCGGGTTTTCCTAGCCCAGTTTGACTCAGAAAAAGTCTGTCTACGTCTGCTCCCTGTTCATGCTGTGGTTAAAGTGAGTCACTATTTGGACAATACGACTTATTTATTTTTTCTTTGTGTAGGCTCGTGCAGTTTGAGAAAAGAGCCGTTCAAAGCACGAGTACCTAGTTCAAGTGATAGCGAAGATACCACCATCAGCTCCGCAATGCATAACAAAATAACTAAACTGAACCATTGAAACGTGCAACTCTCGTCTGGAGCCAAACGCATCAAATGAAGATTATCTCTCTCGCTGATTTTGAGGGACGTAGCGACTATGTTGACCGCATTAAGTAGCAGATTGGACTCTATCGATTGCATTTAATTATGAACGATCGAGATGATAACCAAGTAGGGTTAGCGATTAAGTTTAGAGATGAATAGAGAGAAGGGCGATGAAATAAAGACTGCTGCCACGTTCAAATCACAGGTAATTTGAGAGGAAAATAAACGTCCGCCGGTCATTGAAGATTCATTGCCCTAGGTCAATGCCCAAATGCGACAGAAGTTTGGCTGACGATACAGCCGCACTGCCTCAACAGTAGTAGCTAGAGAGGAATACATTGAAGCAACTGATTAGAAGTTGAACTGGGAACCAAGTTGTCGGCTCGGGGTGTCTAGTACAGGAGCAGAATCCCTGAAAACTCGATGAGCTGACTAACATGATCAGAGCATCACAGTGAGAGAGTGGGGCAAGTAAAAATAAGGGAAGATAGAGGGGAGAGCTGAGAGTTAATTTGATGAGAAGGGCGGATGTGGTAGTTAAGAGGATGTATAGCGTAGATGAAGGAGGATGGTGCGTTGGAGAACGAAAAGTCTACATGGTGATTAATTGAGTACAGTGTGAAGAGATTGGGCCACGTAGACATGGTGGTAATAACAATAGCAAGAAATGGCGGGTATAGTAAAGGTCACGGTGGGTAGAACAGAGTGGGTAGAGAGCAAAGGATGGCCTGCTGATCTACCAAGAAGCAGAGTCGAATATCGCCATGACAACGCGAGCGTGGGCGTGCAGACCGTCTTCTACACCACACGTTGTCTACACACCACAGCACCTCTCACCACGCGTTGTCAAAACCACACCATTGCCTCTTGAACCACATTTTGTCTACACACCACAGCACCTCACACCACGACTTGTCAACACCACACCATTGCCTCTGACACCACACTTTTTCTACGACACATCACACCACAGTCTTACTCCACATGTCGTCTACGACACACCACATCATCTCACACCACACATTTTCTACGGCACACCACCGCCTCTTACACCAAGCACAGTTGCACATGTTGTCCACACAACGCCACAGCATCATTCACCACGCCACAGTATCATACTACATCTTTTGCCTTGTCTGTCAAGAAACTGCTAAAACATTTAATACCAAATGTATTCTAGCAGCTGGTGTTGCACAAGTGAAACTTTTTATTGAAAATACTCAGAACTCTTGAACGGCCAACGTCACACTGGGGTATAAAGAGATCAAATATAATTTCAGATGTTCATCAGTGCTTGTGCGACCCACAAACACCCATAATGAATAAATTAGGCAGATGTAGGAGATAATTCATTTTTTTGGGTGACATGAATGCCCAGCAACGAATACATCAGGCGGATGTATTAGTTTATCCATGTTTTGGGTGACAAGAGCGCTCAGTAAAGAACGCAAAACACATTTTTGAGGGTTAACTTATGATTGTAACGGGCCGCACGCTGCGTACTGTTCAGATGGGTTGATAATATGATAATAAAAGTTGCACAGTTGGTATTACAAGACCAGCTCCCCCCTGCGCCGGTGCCTGCACACGAGCGTGGGTTGCGCCCCCGCAATAAAGGGGAGGGCGCGACACGAGCGCCCGCACCCGCGTCGGTCACGGGCACGTGAGGGTAGCGTTGTCGTGGCGCTGACGTGGGCACGGTAGAGACGTGGGCAGAAACGTGGGCACGACAGAGACGTGGACACGGCAGAGACGTGGACACGGCAGAGATGTGGACACGGCAGAGACGTGGACACTGCAGAGACGTGGGCACAACAGAGACGTGGGCACAACAGAGACGTGGACACTGCAGAGACGTGGACACGGCAGAGACGTGGACACGGCAGAGACGTGGGCACAACAGACGTGGACACTGCAGAGACGTGGACACGGCAGAGACGTGGGCACAACAGAGACGTGGGCACAACAGAGACGTGGGCACAACAGAGACGTGGACACTGCAGACACGTGGACACGGCAGAGACGTGGACACGGCAGACACGTGGACACGGCAGAGACGTGGACACGGCAGAGACGTGGACACGGCAGAGACGTGGACACGGCAGAGACGTGGGCACAACAGAGACGTGGGCACAACAGAGACGTGGACACTGCAGAGACGTGGACACTGCAGAGACGTGGACACGGCAGAGACGTGGGCACGGCAGAAACGCTGTCTCTTATACACATCTAGATGTGTATAAGAGACAGGACGTGGGCACAACAGAGACGTTGACACTGCAGAGACGTGGACACGGCAGAGACGTGGGCACGGCAGAGACGTGGGCACGGTAGAGACGTGGGCACGGCAGAGACGTGGGCACGGTAGAGACGTGGACACGGTAGAGACGTGGACACGGCAGAGATGTGGGCACGGCAGAGACGTGGGCACGGCAGAGACGTGGGCACGGCAGAGACGTGGGCACGGTAGAGACGTGGACACTGCAGAGACGGGGGCACGGCAGAGACGTGGACACGGCAGAGACGTGGACACGGCAGAGACGTGGACACGGCAGAGACGTGGACACAGCAGAGACGTGGACACGGCAGAGACGTGGGCATGGTAAAGACGTGGGCACGGCAGAGACGTGGGCACGGCAGAGACGTGGGCACGGCAGAGACGTGGGCACGGCAGAGACGTGGGCACGGCAGAGACGTGGGCACGGCAGAGACGTGGACACGGCAGAGACGTGGACACGGCAGAGACGTGGACACGTTAGAGACGTGGGCACGGCAGAGACGCGGACACGGCAGAGACGTGGGCACGTCGTGGGCACGGCAGAGACGTGGACACGGCAGAGACGCGGACACGGCAGAGACGCGGACACAGCAGAGACGTGGGCACGGCAGAGACGTGGACACGTTAGAGACGTGGACGCGGCAGAGACGTGGGTGACAGAGATGTTATGGAATAAGGCTA